AACTATGAAAAAATGGGGTCAGTTTGATTTCATACTTCAACGTCCTTCCGAAGCGGGCGACGGGATTTCAATTACAGCGACCGACAGCTTCTTACGGGCGACCCCGAAACATAACTCTTTTTAGCTGCCGACAGACGCATATACCTTTGCGAGGGGTCGAACGAGACCCTATACGTCGCAAAGCCATCGCCACAACGACGACGAGTGGCTCCAACAAAGAGAGGGAAGTGCTACCCTAGATCCTGCGTATGAAGGAGGTGACAACAAAAACTTCGCTGGCGGAGGAGATTCGGTCGGTGGGAAGGGTAGCCAAGCTGCTAGGGGTGCGATAGCTCAGAGCTCTGCGTAAGAGAGAGTTGGGGCCGGCGAGATCTGGACGTCGGAGTTGGAGGAGGCCGGCAGGATGCTGCCGATGAGAAAATATTGTCGCAAGTGCCGCTGGCCTAGAGAAGAAGAGAGAAGGTGGCAGCGGGTTAGGCCAGCGGTTGGAGGAGCTCCGACGAGGAAGAGGACGCGAAGAAGGATGCTAGTGAAGAGGAATACGCCGGCAAGGAGCGACCGCCAACGAATCCGGGCAAAAATGGCCAGTTTCGGAACCATGCTTCAGAAAGGGAAGTGGCGAAGCTAGGAGGAGGAGACGCCAGTAGGGTCATTCTCCGACGAGGAGGTCGCCGGAGAGGAGTGTCGGGCGAACCTTTGAGACTGAGCGAGAGGAGAAAAATGGAGAAAAAAAGAGGAGCGTCGGGCTTGAGTTCACGCGAGAGAGGAGAAAAATGGAGAGTGGGGTGCTGCGATAAGGATAAAGGAGAGAGGGAGCAGCATAAAATAAAATTAAAAAAATTCAAGCTAGCTGCAGGCGCGTGGGTTATATAGGATAAGAATAGGAGAATATCCTTTTTTTTTATTATTATTATTTTTAACGTGATGGGTGATGGGTGATGGGTGATGGGTGAGATGGGTGATTAAAAAAAGAAGACAGAGAGAATCACGTGCTGCAAGCATAAATTAAAAAAATATAATATATATATTTTATTTTTATAATAATAATAATATTATTATTATTATTTAAAGCCTCCGCTCATTTCTCGTCGAACACCTCGCAGCATAATGAACGTACTTCCTAGGTGAAATCGACATTCCAGACACAATGGTGTGGTCAGTTTTGTCATCCGGCGTCATCTGGACAATTTTTTTGACGATTGGGTATAAAATGATAATTCGTATATTTTTGACTCGTTCGTGAAGCCGTAGCGAAATGAACTTCCCCCTAGGCTGAAACTGGCGTTCTGGACACACTCGCACAGTCTGTTTCATCGTTCGGGGTCATCCGAACGAACTTCCTTGAAGATCGGGTCAATTCGAATCAATTTCGCCGCGACGTGACACATAATATTCGTCGACCCGATCAGAGACGTCCGATGAACAGAATGTTGATCGGTCTTCGTTTAAGCGAAAGCCAAATTCTAACCAAACAATCCCGGCTACGTGCCTCTCAACACGCGTCGGTGGGTCTCGAACAAATATCTCGAGCTATATGTGACTTATTTGCACTAAGTTTTATCCTGATACGCATAGGTGGACATTCCACACATGTGACATCAAAAAATGATGCCAACAAAAATTAATTTTTATTTTCCCTGTTCTTTAACCTAAATCAAACCAAATCAAAAAGCCACACACAAGTCCTTGATCCCTGCCACACATGTCACTTGCAACTCATGTTGCATTCAGAGCCATATATCATCACTGCATCTTAATCATTGCAACCGCCATTTTTGTACGCTTTTTCCTCTCCTCTTCTTGTCGGCAACCCATCTCCTTATTTTTCTTTGTTACTTTAAATTTGTTTATATCATTATTTACTTTTTATTTTATCATTTGCATTTCTCAATATTTTTTTTGGATGAGGCTTCTTTATTGTGAATGAAATTTTCAGCTTACAATTACTCTACAATGGTTAAAGGTTATAAAAAAAAAAACTCGACTGGAAATAGAAAAACCGGGCATGAAAATATAGTGTCAAGAGCAAATTGAAGAGTGAATAAAGCTTACATTTATTTGAAGTGCAACAATTATGATAAAGTGACTAGTGATAAGAATGAAAGAATGCTTTTCTAGTTTTCATAAAGATGTTGTACCACATGCTAAAGCGCCTAAAAAGATGAAAAAGAAAATTAGTACTTGAATAACTAAAGCAAGCAAGCAAGCCTTTTGCACATCTGCAATTTGATGACATATTTGATTGTAGTTATTATTATGCCAATAGTGTGGCAAATATTCTTCTTTGCTACAAATGTTCGATAGAGATTCAAGGGAATCTACAAATCAATACAGGATGAATGTGGATGAAGAAAAAATTGATGATATGAGAGCAGCTCATTGAATGCACCATAAGAGAGAAATGCAACCATTTTCATACGGACATTAAAAGAATCTTCCATGATAATACAATTCTATTGTATGTGGCAACTTCCCCATCTTATGTCAACATGATTAGTTCTAGAAGTTGCAATGGTCGAGGCATTGAACTTCCTTCAATGTATCAGCTTGGGACTACGATATTGAATGGAAATTTCAATAGAATTGAGAGGCTATCGAGAAGATCAAGATAACTAGGTCACAAACTGAAGTTACAATCATGTTTGAGGATTATTTATATATATATTTCAAAGTCAATTAAAGCATGAAACCCCAAGAAGGATACCAAATACATACTTAGAATAATTGATGGAGCTATAAAAGAGATCAGAGAACCCTCGTAATTTAAGTTACTGAAAATTTTAGTGCTTATAAAGCAGAAAGAAAAAGATTAACAATCAACAAAAAGCATATTTATTGAATGCCATTTGTCAATTTAATATTAATGCAGTGTTGTCTTAAAATGACAATTTTTTAAGAGATCCTCCTAGTCAGGCATAAAATTATCTTTTCATGCAATATTGAATATTCTAGATACTGAAAGTCGATCAAGATAAATAAGAATTAACCAAAACAATCGTTAAAAAAATTGGTAGAATTTAAAAGCAGGATCTCTTGAATATTGCATGAAAAGGTAACATAGTAAAAAGAATTTACGTGCTCACCATTTTCGACATTAGAAAGCAATTAAAAAACTCACCTTTTCTTTTAGTCTTTGCAGAATTCACCCTTGAACCATGATGGGATGCTAAACATAAGATCATCTCACGTAATCTAGATTTTACTTTTCTTCTAGAATCATAAACTGCAATTCTTTGAGGTTCCCAGTAATTAATCTTTAGCCACTCAAGTGCCTGAAGATGACAGCAAACATTTAACCAAAACAAAAACTGAAATTACAAACAAAAGCATATTACAAAAACCGAGATTCCAAAATATTTAGTATATATGACTATAAAAAATTAATCACTTAAGTAGACATTTAATTTTAGGAAAATCTACATATGTAGCACACAATTCTAAAGTATTTACATATCTCACACAGGACATCAGTGCTTTAAAATTATGAATGAAAAAGTATATTTCACTTTTAAAAAATGATAAGTGTTATTTTTTAGGCAATACTAAAGATTTGAGTGCTATATGTGTAAATATGGAAGTTCAGGTGTGAAATATGTAAATACATGAAAATTATGTGCTATAAATGTAAATTTCCCTCATTTTTAAAGGCCTACAAATATCAAGGTGGCATTAAACAGGGCAACCAAAGTGCATGCTCGACTAGAACATGAAAACAGACAGTACCTTTGCACTGGCTGCACGAACCAGCTTGAGTGAAGGAAGACAACGATGAGAACTCTCTAAAATCCAAAGGCAAGACAGAACATCATAGTTTTGATTTATCAAATAAAAAAAGTGAACTACAAGCAAATAAAGCTAGCAGAAGAACAAAGCTTCCCCACCATGACGAATATCAACAAGAGTTCGTGGAATACCAACTGCATCGGCTAAATCGGATATCGAGCGCCCAGTTTTCTTGTGCGCAGGCTCAACAAAATCATTGACGAGTCTGTTACAGAGACTAAGAACTAATTAGCCGATATTAAAAGATCCATTGTTTCAAAAATTAAACATATCTTTTAATAAAGAACACATTTATGCATTAAAAAAGGCACTTTATCATATTTAAATCAATTGGAAAGATTAGTAGATTCAAGGAAAAAAATAAAAAAAAAATTTGTGAATTGTGCAAAATCGTTAGAAGTAAGTTTCCGCAACATATAATATAGCAAACAAAGCATGAACCACTGCAAGCACTTAACCATCAAAATTCTCATTAAAATCATTAAAAGAAAAAGGAAAAAAAGGAAAAAAAAGGAAAAAAAATATGGTTACGTCTCAAGCCTGCAAGGTACACACCTCATTATGTTTCTCAAGGCATTTATAGGTGTACAATGATGATTGTTTTAATGAAGGAACAAAACAACAAAAATCAACAAGAAATGATAGAAAGGGTTAATAATAATTTTATGTTAAATTATTAAAGAACAATATAATCACTATTTTAGATGATATCGAAGAGTAAAATAATTAACATTGAAGATCGTTAAAAAGATCTAAAGTTGTTGACATAAGTGAGAAAGAGGAAATAAAAAAAACAATCAATTATAAGGAAGCCTATAATTAAAACCTTCAAAGTGATGGAAGTGGGAGACACTTCTGAATTTGAAAATAAGAAAAGATTATGAAGACCATAGAGTTAGTAGAAACATGATTGAGTATATTAATATGTAATTTCAGAAAATATGATGTTAGCAACTAGTATTCAATATAAGAAGATAATGATGATATCTATGTAAGATATGCTAAGCAACTTAGGTCTGTTATATAGAAGAAAGAATATATAAAAATAATTTATGTTTGAGTTAAAACTGGATGGTTAAAATGGATAAGTTCCTCGAGAGTTTTGTGTGATAAAAGAATGTCATGGATGCTTAAAAGTGTGGATCTAAATATTTGTTGTAATATCACAATTAAAAAGAGTTGAAATGAGAATGTAAAGATAAATATGTGACAAGACTAAGAAGAAAAAAATCAAGAATTATTATATTGTATTAGAGGCAATCATGTTAAAGTGATGATTATTGAAGATAATATAAGTAATAAAAAAACTTGTATGCTTAGGACATCAATAATAAAGGATTTAAAATATGTAAAGTTAGATGAGCAAGCAAGTTAGAGTCGAAGGATTAAGTTTAACACGTTAAATGCCACTCAGCACAAATAAATAGAAAATGAAGATTCATGATGCTGACACCAAATGGTTGAAGAAAAGGTAATAACAATGTGAAAGACTCACAACAACACAAAAAAAAATGATGATAGCGAAGGGTGGCAAAAATGGATAAGCCAAAAGAAAAGACACTTCGACACCAAAAGACCAAAAATAAGTAGAATGATAAATTTAAGAGAAACAACAAATGAAAATGCAATCTCTAAGAGAGAGATTGGAAGTACATAGATTCAACTACAAGTTATTTACTTGTCCAAGGTCATCACTTAGCAATGTTGGGAACAGATGAATGACATTTGTATGCATTAATCTCTGAAACACCAAAACATTTACTTTGGTTCTTTTGCTCAAGTTTCATACAAATGAAATATGAAACAAGTTAAAAGTCAAAACATATTAATACAGCAAGAAAAATAGTGCAATTAAATATTAAAAGCATAAAAAAATATCAATCAACTCCTTGGTGCAATTAAATATTAAAAGCTTAAAACAAAGTCAAGACATAGCAATAATGCAAATAAACAGATTTACAATGCAAGAAACATGCTAGTTGATATGCTTTAAAAAACAAGAGAGTTAATGGAAGTCCGTATGTTGCTCTCAGTTTCAACCTGCACAGAGTACGGCTTCCAAGCTCTTCCTCTAAACTGCACAAAGTAAGGCAAAAAGGGTAATTAATGGAACCAAGGATTTTTGCACACAAGAGAAGCCTCGAGTGCTCAAATCAACCATGAAAATTGAAAGTGATTAATCTGGCTATATTGAAAGGGCAATCCTCTTGAGGATCCACTCATTTCCGAAGTCTTTGCTTACAAATCATTGCATAGTATGGCCAGAGGATTGAGATATCCTTAATTATCCACTACGTTCCTTAGTCTTCACTATAAGTTTAGTAGAAAGACCAAGCTAGATCAAGAAATTAGCTCGCTTATAGAGTCTTAGCTTAATCTGTAGAGGATTCTAGCAAGGTCATCTAGACTATGCCAAAAAAAAAAAAATGACTAAAACCTTAAAGGGCAAAATAAAATTAAAAATTCACCTTTAGTCCTATTAATAGTCCATGATCATGGTTGTCAAAAAATAGCTAAAATTATTTGTTGAATCATGATATGGGTCACCTCATCATCATTAAATATGCCTCATAAGCATCTCATAAATCTACCCTAGACATAACCAAAAAATCCAAGTTGAACATGAAATGTCCAAACCAAGTACTCTCGCATAAGACAAATGAGCTTTGAATATGAGTAGAGAGAATTAAGCTCCTTTTGATGGAACTAACAACCATAGAAAACAAACATCTAACTTCTAGCTAGATTGTCAATGATGGTCCAACTATAAGCAAGGAAAGGTCGAAAAATGAAAGAAGACATCAGTCAGTATCACTATAAGACCCAAATTAGGAGTGATTACAATCATCCTAATTATATTTATAGCATTATAACAAGAATAAAAAAAAATTTCATGATACTTTTATTTGCATGGTTTAAACGATAATAGAAAATGTAGGGGCAAGGTGTAGGCTTCAACCATTATTGGTTGTGGCACAAACTTCAAACTTCTTATGCTTACAGGCATCTCCTCCCTTAATTGACCCTCTACCTCCCCCTCTCCTTCATTTCTCTCTCACCAGATAAATTCCATCTCCAACTCCATCTCTCCTTCCCTTTTCCTACCATTCTTAAGTAACAAGGACCTTCCTTCCACTTTATCGACCAATACACTTCAAGAAACTATTCCTTACCATCTTAAAAGTCCCACCTTCCTTCCACTTTATCCACCAAAACACTTCAAGAAACTATTCCCTACCATCTTAAGAGTCCCATGACAAAGATGTACCCTCTTCCTCCCCCAAATCTTCATCTCCTTCAGCGACTCCTCTCACCACATATTACATTACCATTGCTACAAATAAAAACCATCAATAACCAAAAAAAAAAAAAAGTTCCCCTAAAAACATAAATCCTAAAGCAATCCAACCCACATTTCAGCACATGCTACATTTTCCTCAGAATATCTAATTATAAGAATTGGAGAGAATTTGTTGAATGTTTCATTTCATCATATGTGTTGAATTTATACAAGTCTACAGAAACCACTAGTAGGAAATATAAAAAATTTAGAAACTAAATATTGACAACATAATAAATTACAATTAGGGCCAACTATAAGTTACTGAGATAGCAATTATGATCTCATGTATTAATAAAGTGGCAATGAAATAGTTAGAAGAGAGAGAGGACTGGTACGATTGTTAGAGTGAGCTAGTAAGCTATGATGAGAGGGGAGTCTGTTGGGCTCAGCTTGGCAAGATGCTAGAGTGCCACTGGATGTGTTTCCTCTAAAAGAGGTAGTGGAAGAGTGGGGCAAAAGCACAAACTAGAGTTGCAAGCATTAATTATAGGTAAGGCATTTCCACACCCACCCTTAAGAAAATGAATAGATGTTATCTATACCAATTTGCCTAATAATATTTGAAACATTATCCCTATAATCCTTTAATTTAATTTAAAGAGTATGCAAATCAACTAGTCACATATGATTACAAATAGAAGGTTATAGATTGTACAACCATCAAATTTTGATTTATAAAATATCTATCAAATTAATCTGTTTTGTATACTCATTTTTTATGGTAGTATGGGCAATATTGATGAATAATTTATTATAATAATAGAGCTTCATAAATATTTTACATTCAACTTTTAAAAGTTTAGAATAACTTTTAGCCAAAAAAAATTCATAAATTCTAATGCCATGGATTTAAATTAAAATTTTGGTTTGGTTGTTACAACTATATAACTGTTTTACTCACCCAAGTTACTTGATTTCCCCTTAAAAGTGTGCAATGTCCAAAAACTTGATCTCATGACAACCATAAACCTAACATAATAATCATGTATTCTTCAAGAGTCAAATCTTTGATCTTTTTAAATAAAATTTCTTCAGCCAGAGTTTTTTTTTCATAAGCCTTAATATAATTTTCTAAGGTGTAATTTTATGGAATTGAGCATGAATTGACTTATCACATTAATAGCGTAAGCAAGGTTAGGCCTAGTATATGTTAAGTCTTCTCATAAAATTTGCAGGGAGTTTTTCTTTATTATTATGTCCTTTGAAGCATCTACAAATCTACGATAAATTTTATGGAGCTCTCGATATGCTTGCAACCCAGCTTATAAGTTGTGAAAGCCTCTGAAACAAATTCAAGATATAAAGCTAGATTGCACACTGAGCCAGCAAGACAACTCAGCAAATTAATTCAACCAAAGAAACTTAACCAGGGAACCCGAATGACTTGCCAATAATGATCAACACACAAATGCTCAACCGAGGCAACTCGATAACTCCCCTCAGGAAGACCAACTTTCCTAGGAAATCTAACTCACCCAAAGGCTGAGCAAGATGACAAAAGCATTACCATAAGTGAAAAGTCTAAGGAAAAATATTTATGAGAAATGATTATCAATACAAGATGTTACCAAGATAATATTAATTATAAGACTCAAATAAAAAAAGATAAAAAATGATAGTTCAAAGATCTCTTAGGATTCATGTAATATAATAAATACTTTATTTTAACACAAGTCAACCCCTCTATAAATAAGGGTATCGTTGTAATGCACGAGAAAAATTTCAAAATAGACAAGTAATTGAATTATTTTCTCTCCCATTTTTTTCTTTATTCTTTGTACTCAATTTTTTTTATTCGAACTCTTTTCATTGGTGGTGTGAATCCGTAAACAAATCAGGATCCAACACATGACTCTTATAAA